TTCATGTCGATAGGCTGCTGCAAAAGCATTGAGCTTTCTGTGGGACAAACAATTGGCAGCAGGACAAAGTGCGCCGATATAGTAGTACTGTAAGCCAGGACAGCCGATTAGATTCTTCAAGTAATCGTAGCAATCAATCCAAGCCTCGTCGTCGACACCCACCCACCCGCCCCCCATCCCCCGCGCCCCCTTCTTTAATTCCTCAGTACTTTGCGCTGTGCAGGAAAACGGCTGTGTTCCCCCTGCATGCAAGGCTAGTCGCGCCCGTCATGAAAGGAATTGGTTAATGCGAAATCTGTCGCAGCTGAAATTTACTGAAAATCACCATGATATGAAGAGCTGCTGGACGGCATAAATTCGGCCCTTCAATCCTGTTTGGCCGATTTGATATCTTGTCAATTGAGATTGACACGAGCTCGTATCATACTCTAAGAATTTTCGTGAGTTGGGCTTGCGCAACGAATATTTGGGCCTTCGCGTTTTCCCACGGGCGTCCATGGTCCGGTGTTGCCGCATTGCTATCGAGCAATCGTGGACACTTGTTTCAATACCAGCATCGAGTTCCAGCACCGTTACATTGTGGGAGGTCTTTTGGCACGAAAACAGAGAAGCCTCTCTCCATTGACTTTGTTCCCTTATGTAACTTGAGCTCCGGGCAGCAAAAGTCAGATCCCGAGCACACGAGTTCCATTACAACGTTGGTGCTCGCGGTGCTCCAGGGCAGCTCGACGCGTTTCAGTAGGAAAAAAAGGGCCAAATAACACGTGTTCAAACGTGTACAAAGTTTACGGGTTTGTGTTATTTTTGTGTTCTTAGCGTGTAAGACTATGATGAAATGTGTTTTATGTGTGTTTGCAAAAGTGTTGAAAAAAGAGTCAGGAATCGATTGATGCTAAGCAACCAAACCGGTAGAAGCCGCAAACAAGACTCGGGGTGTCCTAAAGTATTGAAAAGAGCGCTGCAACCACAGCGCCACCCCGTTGGCCTTCCTGCCGCGTCTTCGCTCGTCAGTGCGGACACTTGCCACACAGTAAGTGTCAGCAGCGGGCCTTGAGAAAGAGCGAGGTGTCAAGCCATTGTTACAATTGGGGCCATGTACCTTGGCGTTACTTAACAGCATGCCGTTTGACAGAATTGGCACGCACCCAACTTGTCACGCATTCCGTTCCTTCCACGTTCATGTGTGATTCCCACCATTTTCCGAAGTTCACCCTGTCCCGCGTCTTCCCCTTGCGCGTTCAACCCCCCAGCACCTCAGTCAATCACTTTAACTCCATATAACTAGCAAAGAGTTTTGTTCACACGCCCAGCGCATCATGACACGCGCACCCGCCACAGCATAGTGCCTATTGCACAATTCATTAATATGTTCCTGCCTCTATATTGTACAGTCTGCTACCCAGTACTTTATTGAATCAGTGCAAGGCCATAACCTCATGCCTTACACCTGCATTCTAGCACCATAAATGAATCCCATGTAAGGCTCCCTTTGCAGGCACTCTTTGCATCACAGCTTGTGAGTTATCTCGTGCATTATGAGGCAGTTTCAGCAATGATTGTAACCAAGAAGAATGACATGAGTTGCGTTGCGCTATCCCACTGCACCATCCTTGGAAACTTACAGATTTCCGCAGTAAATATTTTCAAGAGAACATTCTTAGGTTTTCAACGACAAATTCGATAAGATCTCTGGCTCGTCAAAAATAAAATTAAGCCAGCCACTCTCCAAACCGTTGCAAAGCTAATGCATAAGTAAAACAGCTCGGGCGGAAAAAATTTGTCGTAGTTCGCGCCGAAAAAGTTCGCTCGGAAAAAAGTTCGCGCACTCGTTGGCCATTTCGTCTAGAGACAACTCGTCTAACGAACAAGTGGTATATGGATATTAAGTCTAATGGACAACTCGTCTAAAATTCAGTTGACACAAGTTGACTTGCACATATCCGCATCCCACTTTTAGCCGGTGGCCCGAGGGCCCTCACCCGTTCAGCACATTCCCCTAAGCCGAAAAACCAACTCACTCACATCTGCATTTCAGCTCAAGCCGGTGATCCGAAGGCCCTCACCCATTGAGCGCACTCCCCTAAACCCCCAAACCAACTCACTCACATCCGCATTCCAGCTCAAGGCGGTGCACCAAAATGGTAAACAAAACAATTGTTTGTGCGTTGCCGCCAGCACAACATCAAATGACCGAGCAATTGATGGGCATCGTCCAGAAGTTGAAACGCAATCATAGAGACGCACACATTCAAAAGACATTGAAGTTACATGTGGTCGTAGCTCGTGCACCCCTTTGAACTATTTGTTCATGACTTCCCTTCCCAAATCATCGCATCCTCTCCCATCGATCTATTTTCGCGCCATGGAGGATCTGATGGCTTCATCGCTGCCAATCGGCGCTGACGTTTGGCTACCTCTCCCGTCGATCCGCCTGCGCGCCCTGTAGAATCTCCGCTTTCCGTAGCTGCCAATCGACACCCCACGCTGCGCCAAACCGCGCCTCACCCGCCAGCCACGTGCCTGGACCGGCGCTCACCCTCCCGCCCTGTCCGGCTCCTTGTGCGCGCGTCAGGAACGCGCCCAGGAACCAGCTCGGAATGCAGGCGCCGCAAACGGAATGAAATACAATTGTAGGCTAAATGCAGCTGGTGGGTGCTGCTTAGACGAGTTGACTCAACTCGTCTAAAGAAAACCCGTCTAACGCAAAGACAGAGTCAGCATTGCAATTGGCTTCACCATAGGGCAGCTGAACACACGCAACGGCTTTGAAAACGGGTGGTATTCGTAGCAGAGAAGTGTGTGTTATTGGTACACAACAACACAATGGCCCCGTTTAGGGTGGATCACTCGTTAGACAAGTTGCCCTTAGACCAAATGTCCTTAGACTACTTGTGCGTTAGACATGTTGTCTTTAAACGAATGGGCCGGACACCGCACTTTTTTCCGCCGCGAACTTTAATCGCCCGCGAAAGTTTTCGCCGCGCAAACATTTGGAGCGCCCGAGCATTGCGAAACCGGGCTCGTGCCGCCCTTGCCCTTCGCCAGGGGTGGCGCCGTTTCTTATTGTGCTCCGCCGCCCCACGGCCGCCGTCCTGAGCCTCCGGCTGCCGCAGACCAATAGGACGAGCGGCCTGGTCAGGGAGATGTCACCTCCTCGCTGCCAAGATTCAGCTGGCCAATAGCCACCAGCGATGTCGCCTCAGATGTAATTGAAATGAAAGAGTCCTCTAATGGGTCCAATCAGCGCCTGATCTGGGTGTAAGGTGATTTGAGCAGTGATTCATCAAAATAATGCATTTGTGCGGGGCACTTGGTGAGAACTATCAGCCGGGGGTTGGTGGGGGCAGTATACTCATTTCACGCAGCATCCAAGCTGGAGAGGAGCCCTGGTTGGTTTGTTCGAGGCGGCGAATGTTTAAAATTCATGCAAAATGTATTCTTTTGCTGGAATGCTGTGTGTAAGAGTCTCCAAGGTCATTTCTGTTATGTAAAACCGCTGCGCCTCCCATTGGAACGCGACCAAGCATATTGCGTTCCGCGTTGCGTATCATCCAAGTTTGTGTGTGCATTGTCTGCGACGTGCCATCGTCTGCTGCTCGGTTGCCGCCATGCTGGGCATGGCGGAGAAGACGGCCATTCCCCGCGCAGGGGAGGTTGCGGAAGTGGAGGAGAGATGAATTCAGGATTCTACGCAAGAGGCTAAGCATTGGCGCCGATCGCGGCGGTTCTGGCGGTACTGCACCACCGACTCGACGTCGATTCCGTCTGGGAAGACATCAGCCTTGTTGTCCTTGCGCGCGAAGCAAGGGCCAGAGAATCTCAGTGACATACGGACAACTTGATTCTCGTGTTGGACAATTTCTTGAGAAGAGGGGTCCTGAACGTGCACATGCTGCACTGGATTGATGCAGCCTTGTGGCCTACAGTCGGCGAATTTGCGCGGGATCTGGCAGTTGTGAATCTGACGTTCTTGCAGCCTGTTAGGTGAAGACCCAATTTCCCTACAGATTATGCGGATGCTTTTGTGGGTGGAACGTTTGCGCCATCTGTGGACGAAACAACGGCTGAGTTGCTCACCCTGAGAAGCGCGATTGCTCAGTTGGTTCCCTTTGAGCAAGGACACTTCGAGGCTTGTAGCACACACTGGGAGAGGTGCACCAATTGATGGCGATTCTGATTGGAATGGCCTACACTGCAAGTTCCATATGTGTGGGAGTTTTGCGCCTGAGGTTTTCTGTAATACCTGTCCTTGAATGCAAGAATCAAAAGCCAGTGGCCCACCCGCCTATCCAGACAATCGCCATGGTGGTAATAAAGTACTTGTACTTTGAAGGATTGGGATGCGCTGGGGGCCAAAAAGGGCATTTTCGAGGAGTTGTTGTCGCTTCGATGGGATGGAGACGCTTATCGCCATTATGTGATACACGTGTTGCTCTTTGTGATAGCCATCCTTTGTTCATGTCACATTTTGGACTCCCCGGCTGGTCAAACTAGGGAACTATATTGCCAGAGGCCCTTTCCAGTGGTGGGACAGATGCGTTACCTGAATTGCAAAGTGATTCTGAACAACTTCAACCTACGCTTGTTACGGCCATCAGCAACGGCTTTCTCAGAGGGCTGTTTAAGCTGCCCCACAACAATGTGTTGAATGTGCTGATATTTGCAAAGATAACAGTCATTAAAAGCATCGAAGACGAGCTCCACATCTCCATCCAGGAAGAAATCAATCAAGGATATGGTTTGTCAAACATTCCCATTAGATAGGCCCAGTGATCTTGGGACAGCCATTCATGATGCGAAATAGAACCATCACGGATGAATGACAGCAATCAAAAGACACAATAAAAAAACACATTCCTGGATAACAAAAATACCCCTTCACATGTCCTACATCAGTTTATTTCCACAGGTAAGACTGACATTATACCATGATTACAACGGCCTAAACACGTGCCCAATATCCCTACTTGACATGGTGGCCGGCATTCTCAGCACCCTTTTCATGGCTTGATCTTTTTCTTGGAACTGTCCTTTCTCTTGAGAGCTGGCTTTTTGGTCTCGTTACCTGCGTTGCTGTCTGGGACCGTGTGAGGCACATTTGGTGTGCCTTCTGTCGTGCCGCCTGGAGCTGTGGGATTCGCTTCTGGCGGACCTCCTGTCTCAGCGCCATCGTGCTTTGAGTCTTGGTCCTGGCTGCTTTTTCCCTCAAGATTTTGAGCTAATACCTCATCATCCCTCTTGGCCTCAGCGCTTGTGTCGCCAGCGCTTCCTGGAAGATTCTTGTGTTCTGCATTGTCTGCATCTTCCCCATTCGTCGGTACTGGATGGGTAGTAACGGCACCCTTTGAATCGCTCCCTGAAGCTCCCTTTGCTGCATCCCGTTGGTAGCAAGGAATTTTTGGCCAGTCAGGCATCGCAGCCCCTTTCGTGGAGCCTTTATCTTGCTTGGGCACTACACGCGCAACTGCAGATATCTCTTTCTCGGAGTCTGCCAGGACGCGGATAACTGCAGGGAAAATGACAATAGCCTTTTCTCCTTTGTTGCAGGCACCATCCATGATGCTGTGCAGCTTCAAATTGTAGTCCACCATCGCCGGTGGGCTGTCAAAGTCAAACTCGAACTTCGGTCTGTGCAAGTACATAACGACACTTGCATCCCAGAACCCTTTGAAGGCTTTCCACAGATAGCTTTCAAAAGGGACGAAGCTCTCCTGTAACTTTCCCTTCGTGGACATAGACTGCCATGCCATGTCGAGAAGCAACGAGTTGGGCAAATTTGTAGATTCGCAGTAGCTCTTGAAGGCATCAGCAGCCCATGTGTTGTCCTCAGGCTGTGCTTCGCTCTGCAGTCAGGTGGAAGACTGAGTCACCCAAATGCAGCCAAAAATATCAGCCAGGATGCAAATTCAAGATCAAGACAACCAGTGCTTGCTTTTCTCAGCAATCAGATGCAAGCAGTGCACCACCCACACACTGCCAAGCCCGTTCTTGAGAACTGTGCCAGAATAGGTGTTCCCATTCTCATTGACACCCTGCTACTACGCACTTACCTGCTTTTGTGCCCTGCTGCCAAGAAACAGTTGTTTCCAGTGGTTCCGACAGTAGAGCTCAAAGAACGATCTGGTCATCTTGCTTGCATTCTCTGGAGTCTCCGTTCCTTCCAGGCTCGCGAGCATGGCCTCCAAAATCGCATCGTATCGACTCTGCACACCTTTCCTTATCTCCTGCAGCATTAATGTTACCTCCACAGACAACTCCACTTGGCATGTTGACAAATTGAAGCCCTTCACGCTGCGCCTATGGCCCCGGAAGTACAGGGCTTCGAATGCATCTGTCGCCTTTTTGACGTACTTTACTGTGTCAGCCTCCAGGGGGAAGTCACCAGTCCCTGAAATGTTCTCTCTCTGTTGCAGGAGTGACAAATTGCGCCGAAGCTCATTGTTGTCCATCACCGCCTTGTTTCTCTCATTCTCCACACTCGCAAGGCTTGCTTTGAGGTCCTTTGCCTCGTGCATCAGGTCTTCATTGCGCCGATTCAGATCCTCCACCTGCGCCTTGTGGGTCTGCCGCCTTTCTTCCAACAGTTTGCTGTCTCTTCCGACATTTGTGAAAGATGCTGCTGCGAGTGCAAAAACATCGAAATGTTGGTTGATGCAATTGCCACATCTTTGAAACTATATCAGTCGTTTGAAGGGGGTCGGTGTTTCATACATTGATGGCAAAAGCACCTTCATATAAAGAAATTCAATCACGAGGCAACACATTCAGCAAAAACCCAGTTTTGCGACAAACAAGGGACGACACTGTTTAGCATACATACAAGAATTGTGGTTTGGCTGCAATAACATGTTGAAACATAAGAAGAAATGCCCACATTTCAGGCTGAACCAATGTGTGCAACGACTGTCACAGTTAAAAATTCGGCATTTCTATTTTCTAAGCTTGCATAAAGGTCAGGTTTATCGCCAGCCTGTGCAGTCAGTGTCGCCCAAGCATTATATATGCACCTGCACTGAATGAAAACGGCCAGCCATGGGTCCAGGGGGGTGCAGTTTAAGAGCCTGTGGCATAATCAACAAGCAGGGGTGGGAGAATTCTTGCAGACACCAGTTGCGTCATCCTGTGGTGCTGTGGTTAGGAACCTTTCTCTGTTGTCGCTGCTGGGCACACAGTCAGAGCTTTTGACGTACTGTGGCCAGAACTTAAACTGGCCCGACATACCCATTCTTCACTTGCAATCCGCAGACACTCAGTTTGGCCTTGGGGAGCATCAGAAGCGCGTCTTGTGCGATCTTGCAGGAACATCTGCTCTGGATGGGAGTGCCCAGTCATGCACGCTTGCCTTGAAGGCAGATGCCATTATTGTGGGCCAACAGGACCCTACTTCTGCACCCATGGCTGGTCGTGCCCATCTCAGGTGGCAAGGCTCATAATCTATATTTGCGAGGGCTTCCCTTAGGTGCCAACTTCTAATCAAAACCAGTGGCTGCTCATGCACATTGCCCCAATGCTGGTGGCTGGATGGACAGGTGTGCAAGAACCATGTGCAACCAGCAGAATTCCATACTTTTGGTGGTCACTTAATTGCTGGGTGGATTGGGATAAAACCGAGTGTGGTGTTTGAGTTCTGAAGTGCTGAAAAACGGATTGTACTATACATTGTATGGTACATATTTCATACTATCTGTCTGTAGACTGTTGCACTTCTTGCTGTATAGCCTAACCTCATGCATTCGTGTCGCAACGCTATGGAGATGCAAACCATTGGCATAGCATGAATTGATCAACATGTTGTGGCACAGCAACGTTTTGGAGTCACACACCTCACGTGCAAGCAGTGCTCATTGCACATAAGTGAACTCATAGCGCAGGTGCAATATCGGCAGGGCAAGGGAATCATGCACAGTCGATGCAGCATTCCATTGCTGCACACTGCAAGGCCGCCTAATTCCCAAACTGGTTGGGAAACAGCAGGATTGCACCCAGTCATGTTGACAACATCACAGTAAACAGTCGTACTCTTATCGTCGGCGTTCATGTTGCACAAAGCCAAGCGATTTATACAATGCGATCGTGCAGATTGAGTGTGCTGGCTCAGAGCGCTGTTGAAGAGTATTCACCAGGTTGCTTATCACATCAAATATTAGGTTTCAAGCCACAAACAGATCTTGCAGCAGATGAACTCTTCAGTTCAGTGTAAATTTGCTGAAATCATTGCTTGAGATAGACTGGCATCGCACCTGGGGCCAGCAAGTACTCCAATGGAGGGCAAGCCAAAGAATCCACCAGCTTTTTGGCTCCTAAAAGCAGCTTGAAAACGACCTTCCATATCAACCGATCAACTTCTGATAGCACATTTCTGTCATCACCCAAGTGGCCTCGAATCCTCATGATCTCTTTGATGCTTTTCCCGCACACCTGTTGCTGACGCTCAGGAGGAAGAATGCGCCAATCCAACTGCGCAGAAACGACTTGCCATTTTCGTTCCGAAGGCCCTAGCCCCAGGATCACCACTTCTGTAAGCCCTCTGTCAGTTCGGTTTTCCAAAAACACCACATACTCTTCGCATTGTACTGCCTGCCAAATTTCTTGTCCGGAATGTGGATACGCTTTAGGCACACTAACAGGCCACTGAGTCCACTTTGTCCTTGAGACATCGCCCTCTTGACACCTTGCTGTGCCGCCCTGCTTAGACAGCAGATCATTCAGCTCGGCATGCCTGGGCTCCTGGGCAGTTCAACAGGCCATGCGTCAATCTCCAATTTCTGGAAAACAGATTACTCCAGTGGCTCCGTGACGGGGAGCCTGCAGCCCAGTGTGGCACCGCTCAATACCTTTGTGAGGTCTCTGTCAATCAACACCTGCAGCTCCTCCAGCAGCTGGTGAGCTTCACGGGCGCAGGATGCAGCGTCGTTCGGATTGGCCCTCTCGATGTCCCACAACGTCCAGAATCCCCAAAACAGGGAAAAAAGTGCCTCGGTGACTGTCGGCTCAGGAACCAGGGTGAGAACGTGCCCTGCATCAGCGTCGCCACCCTCGAACAGGTGGATGAAATCGGGTATCGTATTAGGGTGCCACTGCACCACGCCCTGTTCATCTCGCCGCAACAGTAGGAGCTCCTTTGTGTTCCTGTTGAAGAATCCCCGCGGCACCGGGGGATGCTTGGGCGTCCCTGTAGCCGCATACTCGGGGTTGATATCGACGACACAAATGTCTGCGCGCCTGGAGACACGCGACGAGCTCATGGCCGGCTCCGCTTGTCGTTGCTTCTTTTCTTCGCTGCTTGCCTTGCCGCCGCCGCCAAAAAGTCTGCCAAGCAGCGACATGTCGCCGCGGCGGCAAGGAGTTTCCACAGGGAAGGTCTGGCAGTACGCGACTGCCAAGGACCTGGTCGCGCACTCTTCACATTTGTACTCCTGAGGGGTGTACCTCAAACCAGAAGGTGGAGGCCCGTCTTCCATTATCCGGGTCCCAGTTCGGATTTGGGGTACACGGAAATTGTGGCCAGTACGGCCTGCTGGTCCTCGTCAGCCGCGCAATGCAGTCCAGCCTGGTACCCGGACATCCGAAAGGGCACCTTGGGGAGGGTGCCCCTTCGAGCCGCGCCTTGCTGGCCTCAATATCATCAGTACCCAGGCGGGCCCCTTCCCCCTCGCGTCTCACGGGGAAGGAGCTTGCTGCGTTTGCTGTAGAGGTCCGCAGAGGTCGTGTGTGCGGCCGACGTGGTGGCCCGCCACCGGCTGAAGTAGCTCTAACCAGCGGTACGGTGTTCGGATCTGGCGTCGATACAGCTTCCAGCAAGGGGCGGGTTTTGGACGCTGTCAATTACGCCGGCACGGCGGCCCACTGGCTTCGAGGAATTGCGGAATGGGCGACCGTTAGGTCCCGATCTGCGCGTGGGTAGGTGACTGCATTTCGCTGTCTCGGTTCCTCCGTCCTCGAACATGATGCATTCGAAGACTCCACGCAAGGTCGGCGGTTGAAGATTGAATTGAACACTCGGTTTGTGGCCATTTGGAGGCGCACGAACGAGGTTCTTCCGTTCGGTCTTGTGCAGACCGACTGGCTGCTGGGTGTTGGGCGTCGCGCAAGCCATTGTGCTGGCAGCGCTGGACGGATCAGATTTTGCAAGTACATCCAGCTTCTCCGCGACCCCTCTGGACGATTGATTATGAGGCGACCAATGTCCCAATTTAGCACAGTTTCAATTGTTGAATTGTTGTGGCGGTTAAGGGCTGGCAGTTTCATTATTTCTTATAACTCAATGTGCAGGTGCAGAAACAATTGACACAATGGCAGCTAGATAGAATGTACCCACGCTCCAAACGGCCACAGTCACAGCTCTTTTTGCTGGCAGCAAAAGAACTGGTTGACTATTCTCCCATCCCCCGGAGGGCTATTTAACGCCTGCATGCTGCGTCTTCAGCAAGCTTACGCATGGGGGAGCATGCAATTAGCTTTTGAATGTGATTTTTGGCGAAGTGCATTATTCACCATGGGGTGTGCCAGCAATACACGACCCAAAGCAAGGTGTGCTTTGCCGCATCACTATTCTGTTTGATTTTAATGTATGTGCGAAATGGAGATTTACCAATCCCCATTCCGCACATGGAGTAGAGCCAGTAATGAATGGCTTCGAAGGGCCGCTGAATCTCACCTTGGAGCGTGTGATCTGATCGGCATGCGTGCGTTTTCAAAATGATTACCATTGATGGCATCGAACAACTATAGGGGGTGAGCGATCGTTGTAACAACGGGTTTTGTTGTTAAGGTGCCATTTTAGGGGACGTTTGGGCGCGGTATGGGTTGCCATCTGAAAATGAATTGCAAACGTCACACCGAATTTTGCAGCTTCCTGGAAAGTCAAGCGGCCCACTAATCCCACAATTTCCTGTGTTACATAACTGGGCAACCTCCATGAGCAAACTTCAGGAGCCTTTTGTGATGGTGTATGCAAATGCGTCAATGATACAGGTGTAAATGCACGAGTCACATGTTCGAAGGGGAAGCGCAGTTTGTGCGACTACCATGAAGTACTGATTGGTGAATTGCTACACGAAGTTTGAATGTGCTGGACAGAGGTCACAAATTCCGGCACCCAATAGTCGCAGAAGAATATGCAGCAAATCATATCGTGATTATGGTTGCTATGGCTTCTGCATGTGATAAATCAGATTTATACTTCCTCCGTCCCAGATTAATTGTCGTCTATTTGAAAGGCCAAATTTGTTATGAGGACAGCCTCAAAATTTTAAAACAAGGTCAAAATCAAAAAGATTGCATCTCAAAACCCTTGACTATTAATTTACAATAAGGGAAAGTGAGATGCGACCCTTTTGAGCGCAAGGCGAAAGTAAATTTTGGTCATTTTCAACTCCAAATATTGAGATTTAATATGTAAATAGACCTTTGATACAAAGTAGTGCCAAATCCTCAATACTTAATGGATGAACTTGAAATTTTTATGGTGCACTCCCAACTCAAAAACACAACTGTAAGCGAAATTTCATTGAAAACAAGTGTGGTCATGATAAAGAAATAATGCCCCAAAGTCATAGACGACAATTAATCTGGGACGGAGGAAGTACAAACATGTCGATAGGCTTGGTATTTGCTGTGTAAACACTTTTCCATTTATGAAACTTTATGCGCAAAGATGATTTTCACGTTTTCCGCATAAACAAGCATAAAAACGCGCAAAAATGGGACCTGTATACTTAAGTACAGTATATATATATATTTATATATTTATATTTATTTATTATTTGCTTGAATATACTCAAGGAGTCCGGGAGTAATAGTTAGGCCCACTGAAGTGTGCAGGAATCGAACTTTCCTCGACGACGTCGTCGTCCAGCCGAGGGCGAGGTGGGCGCTGTGTTTGCCAGTGTCGGAGAGGTTGGAGGACTGATCGTTGTTTGTGACATCATCACGTAATTTGGGCGTGACGAAGAACCGTAAATATGCCTAAGTATGGCCGTGGAAACGGTCGTTTCTCTATTTACGCGTTTTTGCGCGTAGAAAAGTAACAGCATAAAATGAAGCTGTAAAAGTAAAACCAAAGCCTGCATGGCGAAATGTATAGTTGTCGTTGGGGAGTTTCCGGAGACAGTGCATCAGCTATCGTCTAAACTGCTCTGTGTTACAGATGGGACTTGAACAGGTGTTAATATACATATTAATTTCCAATTTCTATAATGAATTTATTCTAGCTTGTTTTTATCAATTTGTTGACTTCCGCTTGGCTCCGTAACTACCTCAAATATTCAAATATTCAGATTGGGAGGGATACATGTGCCACAACTGATACTCCCAGATTGCGATAAAACAATGCCAAATACGACAGACCAAAATGATTATAGTGTTGTATTGCACTTTTCACTGCAAACATTCGAATGATGCTCTGTTCCCAACGCATTTATCAAAAGCTGCATTTTGCAAGTAATTCTCTCGTTCCGTTCAAACGATGGATGCTGGGAACATTGCCATTGATATTCCAGTCATGTGCATTCTTCCCAAGCAAAAGCAAGGCGGATAATACCGTTTGTGCTCGATTTGCATCAAATGAATGGCATGCGAAATGCAGTTGGTGGGTTTACCATTTGGAGGATCAAGAACCATGGGTTGCCACAATAGGGCACATTGTGTAGTTGTGGCGGTGGACTTTGGTACAGCCTGGACAGCCCTTGCCAATACACAACAAGGACAGGCAGAAGACGACGTTGACGTTGATGTGCCTTCGGGAAAGGGCGCCTCCACTCTGTGCGACGCTGAGACACTTCCGCAATCTTTCTATGCAGTTAGGGGTCTTGAATTCTTGTTTGCGAATATGCAGCCGGAGATAGATGCCCCAATATGATGGACCCACATTGCTTTCTGTTCCGAAACATCAAGATGGAACTGCACAACCCCTCCTACGATGACCCTCTGTGAAGGTCTCCAGAGGCAAAAGCCTTACTCTGCACAGTATTATAGCTAAGGGTCTGGAGTTCGTGAAAGACGGCGTCGTGAAGAAGCTGAAGAACAAAAGGCTCTCCATGCAGACCACCATTGTAAACAAGGGTCATTACCGTCCCAGCTATATGGGGTGACTGGGCGAGGCAAATGATGTGGGAAAATGGCCTTTGCGGCCGGACTGACTCGAGAGGTGCAGTCCCATGGATTGAAAATAGCCCTGGAGCCTGAGTGCGCATGTCTATCAGCGCAGATGGTAAAATTCCAGGGTGTACTCTGCGATACAATACAAAAACTGACGGCCCTGATGGGGGCCAGTGTGGCGCTACAGAGGTGGATACGATTTGCTTCAGGTCATCTGCGTCGCATCGATGCCCGAGCAAAACTAGTTCGGTTTCAGTACCATAGCATCCAGGTTCCAGGCTTCTGCGGGAAAGGGGCGTGTCACGTGAGCTTCAAATTGGCGCGGCCAGTGGCGATACCTCCTCAGAAGTTGCGTAAATATATTGGGACGCAGTGACCCGCTTTGAGGACGGCAAGGACTGAAAGCGTAAATATACACTTGCAGTTGAGTGTACCCAAGGCATGTCCCTTCGCCAGCGGAAGAAGGGCTGCAGTGCATCAAGCCGCTGGAAGAGCGTCCCCCGGTTCTTCCAAATGTTTTCCTGGTGTACCACCGGATACTGGGGAAGATGGCCCCATTGTCCTCACTGTTCACTCCACTGTCTTCCCCACTGTTCTCCAATTTCCCACGAGCGCCACTCGTCGGACGTTGTCCGACAACAACGTCCCTCTCTTCATTCGCGCTCACTGGGATCCTCATCCATAAGGTTCTTGCCTTGCACGTCCTTCCTCGGCTGCGCACCAGGTGCCCCCTTCCTCTGCATTGCCCTCTGGGCATACCCCCACTGACAGCCGCCCCTTGCCAGGCTGCTGCCGGTCGCTCTGGCTCGCGCATGCAGCGTGCTCACTGGGGCACCACCAGCTTGTCCCCTCGAGCTTTCGGCGGTAGAGTGGGCGATCCCCGGCGGTGTTGACTGCATAGCATCCTCGAACTCTGCTACCTCCTCCGACGACGGCCTCGACTGTGCGCTGACGGTAATTTCAGAATTTCAGCCAATCCGTCTATGGCCGTGTAGACCGCGCACAGGTGCCCAATGGTTGTGCCTGAAGGCCAGGGTGCTGTTTGGGATCGCGAGGAGGTACTATGCGTTCGCGTCGAAACGGCTCGCTATCGACGGGGGTGCGAAGTTCGTGCTTGGCCCTTTCGCGGCGCCCTGTGGCAATCATCATACGGCGCTCAAAGTGCATTCCGGAAAGCGTGTGCAACGGCGAAGATCGCAGCCAGAAGACGTTGGGATGAGAAGAGTAC